TTTAGGGTTTTGGGGTTTAGGGAGGATTTGCTCTGTAATAAGAGGGCTCGCAGGTCTTATGACTTTTCGGGTTTACAGCGGGGTTTCTAAGGATAGTTGATGTCAGTGTTTGTATACAGGGGTTATATATATATATACATATGGAACGAGTCGACTCTCTCTATATATATATATATAGAGAGAGAGAGAGAAAGGGTCTTTGAGGGTTAGCATGAGGGTTTCAAAACTAGGCTTTTAGGGTGCAGGGTTGAGCTTGCTTGCTTGCTTGCATGGTTTGGGTTTGGATGCTCACGTTCAGGCTGAGGGGGTTTCGGCTGATCCGGAGGCCTTCCTCATGAAAGGCCCGGAGGCCTGTGGCCTCAACCCTGAACCGCTGGCTGCGTCCGAAAAAACCAGGAGGCACGTGAAAGTTATCGGCTTAGCGTTGAAAGTTTGGTGCCTGGACCAGTATAGCTCTATACTGATAAGTTATAACCCGAAATACTTTCAACCCGACTTAGGGGAAAATAGCTCTTCCTAGGCACGAAGTTCCCCCACGCTGAACCAGCCCTACGGGTCCATGTGCCCAAATAGTATATACTTTGGCCTCAAAACAGTCCCTATACAGGTACTTTGCCTTAAACCCTACACCCTAAGCCCGAGGGCCAATCTATAGTATTTGGGTACACGGACCCCTATACCCGAAACCTTAAAGTCTCAAAGCCCGTATAGAACCCGTCATAGTAATCCTTACGAGCCCTTATAGGAACCCCTAAGGTTTAGGGTTTAGGGTTTAGGGGAATCCCTATTGAGGCACGTGGAGCCTTAGGGCAAGTAGCCCTTTGCCACAAGGCCGGCGCCAAGGCTTTCTACAACTGCTCTCCGCAGGAGGCCTCTTGGATGTTGAGGCTTAAGGGCTTTGGGTTTCAGGTTAAGGGTCTAGGGTTTATAGGCTTGAGGGCTTTGGGTTGAAGGTTTACGTGCTTAAGCTTCTGGATTCTTACCCTAAAGCCTAAACCAATTTGAGGTTAAGGGTCTAAGGTTTAGGAGTTCCGGGAAACCCATAACCCTAAACCAATAATTGTAGTGTCAAGGGATGCTTAGGGGGCGCCCTTACCGTGGGGATGATGGGGTCAAGGTCTTAAGGTGCAGGGTTTACGTCTGGAGTCTCCGGAGTTTTTGGATCTTCCCCTAAGGCTCCGTGTACCTCTATAACCCTACGGTTTAGGGTTTAGGGTTTAGGGTTTAGGGTTTAGGGTTTAGGGGTTTAGGGTTTAGGGTTTAGGGTTTAAGAGTATATACTTTGGCCTTAATGTGGTCCCTATATAGGTACTTTAGGGCCAATGTATATACTATTTGGGTACATGGACCCTTAGGGTAAGTATACAGCTTAGGGTTGAAAGTGCATATATATATATATATATGTATAAAGGAACTTGTTTAACGCCTAGACCCTCCAAAGCCCTGTCCCCCTCTCTGCACTTCATGGGTCTCTTTCAGTTCTTGCCTACTGACGCCCTCCTGGTGTTGGGATGTTGAGCTATTATTTGTCCAAAGTTAGAAGTATGGGCCCGTTATAAGGGCCCTCAGGGGGGTTCTAGGGTCCCTTAAGGGTACATATAGGGTATATAGGAGGTACATAAGGGTCCCAGGGTTAAGGGCCCCTTCCAGGGGCCCATGGTTTCAACCTTAGAATTTGTTACGTTGACAGGCACATTGCCGCAAGCTGCTGGTGCACCAGGAGGCTTTGGCAGGCCAGGAAGTGTGGAGCTTTATTGATAGTGCAAAGTCAGGACAAGGCCATAGAGACAGGACTAAGTAGGCCCTTTTCGGGGGATGGACTTCCGGTCCCGAAACTTGAGTCCAAAACCATGTCGCCACGGATTGGATTCTGGTCAAATACCGTAACCCCTCCAGCTCAGGGTTCATTTCTTGTCGAAGCTCTTGCATGGTGGCGGATTTGGCATTAAGCTCCCCAAACAGATCTGCGCAGGTTCAGGATTGTGGCTTTGAGGTGCAAGAAAACATACACCGCCCAAAATTCGAAACAGCAGCTGGCTGGGTGTGAAAATCCTCAAACCCCAGTCATTTCCGGAGGAGTGGTCGACCGCTACATGCAAGCAGTGCTGTTTGCTCTGGATGACATCGACACCAAGCTGCAATCTGGGCTGGGATTCCTAAACCCGGTAAGCCCAACCTCAACCATTGTTACAGTGATAGGGAGTGATTCCAGGTCGAGCATTGATTTGGTTTGAGTTTTAGGTTGCGGGTCTCAGGGCTCTGGGTTGGGGTTTCAGGATCACCACAGCTCTATACAAGCCCTTAAGACCCTGCACCTTAAACCACCCTAAACCCGACCTTAAACGTATCATGGCTAACCTACATAATTTTTGTAGGTTGACTTTGTTAGGGACCCTCCGGGTATAAGCCCTAAATGGAATGCTGTTGTTTAAATGTCAGTATGTGTTTTCATGCTGGGGCTCTGGGCAACAATCCCACGCGAAATGTAACAGATCCCTTGCATTATCCCATAGACGTTACTACAAACATCATACTACACGTCTCGCTGGTCTCGTATACAACCTCCCATGTCTTGAAAGGGGTTTCAAGCTCTGCAACGAAGTACATGACGCAGCCGCCATGGGAAGTGGTGGGGGGGGGGGGGGGGGGGGGNNGCGGAGAGAGGGGGGGCAGGGTTGCGGAGGAGGGGTGAGGGAAGAGGTGGGGAGACAGAGAATTTCTCTGAGGCCGAAGCGACATAGAATAGGATTTGTGGGGTACATATATAGTATAATAAGGACCCTGGGAATCCTAGGAATAACAGGGGTAATTATTCTGTATAGCATCCCTGAAGAACAGGATTCCGCAGTACAAGAAATACTCAATTTCCTCCAAAAACTCAATTTCCTCCAAAAGGCCCTGGCCCACGAGACGCTCCGGGCCGGTCTCCATCAGGCGCTTTCGGGTTTAACTAGGGTTTAGGAGTTAGGGCTTATAGGGTTTAGGCTTTGTGTGGTTTTTGCTCAAAGGGTGGTCGGTATTAGGTTGCCTTTCATGCCAAAAGCGTGTGTTCAAAGCACCCTGGAGGTTTGGACTTTACCTATAGTCTCCATCGTAGTTCCTTTTTTTCCTGTAACCCATTCTATCTTAAGGATTTTGTAAGGTATCCCCAAAAAGGAACTACAATGGAGACTATACCTATAATCTCCATTCTAGTTCCTTTTTTTGGTTTAACCAGTTATATATTAAGGATTTTGTAAGGTATCCACAACAAGGAACTACAATGGAGACTAAAGGATTTTCAAGGTATCCCCAAAAACGAACTACAATGGAGACTAAAGGATTTTCAAGGTATCCCCAAAAAGGAACTACAATGGAGACTATAGGTAGGATCCTGAGGTTGCTGACGGCTTCACGCCGGGTCCAAGCATCTAAGAATCAAAGAACTTAAAACTGCGGTCCTGACTACCCCTGAGGCTCCATGTGCCCAAATAGTATATACATTGGCCCCTTAAGTACTTACATAGGGACTACTTTAGGGCCAAAGTATATCTATTTCGGTACATGGACCCTTAGGGTACCATCCCAAACTCAGACCCAAGTACTTTGTTATTGGATAGGTTGGACCCTTGGTTACTGGTGGCATGGTGACAAGTGGGCGAAGAGCATCGGGTTTGCAAGCCTACGCCCGAAGTGACTACACCTGTAATTGGCTTTCGGGCTTAGTATTCAGGGTTTGCGGTTGAAAGATCATGCTTCATGAGTGAAAACTTAGGTTTTCAGTCGGCTGGGCCCTCATTTCGTGCTCTCGTGCAGATTCAGATGGTTGTGGCTGAACGCTACAGCTGGACAGCGGCAATGTTGTGGCTGTCCTTCTAACAAAGCATCGACGATACTTAGGCAAAAGGGTGTAAGGCTTGTAACTTGGATCATGTAAACTTGTACTTCGAGACTTCGGGAACATTTGTTGGACCCCGCACTTTCAACGAATGCGCGGGGATGCAGACGTGGTGGAGTACGTAACCTTTAGTCTCTTTGGGTTATCATATCCAAGTAGAAGCCCCGCCTTTTCCTCATGGTTCTAAACCCTAAACCCTAAACCCTAAACCCTAAACCCTAAACCGCTTCAGTTCCACTAGGAAGCCGGACAAGTAATTAAGCCGAACTAAGAGCTTCCTGGACTCCAAAGAACCTACTTTTTCATCCTTTGTCATCGTAGGTTAGCGTGTTACATGTTTATGGGCACTTAAGCCCAAGAAGGAATAGACATTTAGTTTTTTTATTCGTATCCCAACCATGTGCTGGTATCTTTGAATCTTCACTACGTATCCGTCTTACAAGCTAATCCTTCGTACAAAAACCATCAAAGAAGCCTTAAAGGCACCCTTAGGGGACCCCTCAAAGGAACCCGTAAAGGAGTCCTTATGGACCCTTACAGGAATCCCTAAAGGAGCCCTGAAAAGAACCCCTAAAAAGGAAGCCTTAAAGGATCCCTTATAGATCCCTTAAAGGAACCCCTTCAAGGAGCACTTAAAAGGAGCACTTAAAGAGACCCTCAAAGGAAGCCTGAGGCTCCAAGTACCTACAGTAGAAGCCCAAAAGTTGGAAACCGAATAGCCTCCATCCTTAAGAGTACTGTATACGGAATCCCAGCACTATTTGTCCTTCATCCGGTTTCCAACTTTTTGGGGTTTACTATAAGCATCATATACTCTTCTGCATACACTCTTCTGAAGTCTAACCTACAAAAACCTACCATCCGCAACCCAAGCACATGATTCTTCGGTCCTTTTGGCCCTTAACCCAAAGGGTCCAAGTACCATTATAGTAGGTACTTAGTAGGTATTTGGGCCCCGAAAGTATACTATACTAGTACTTGGACCCTTTGGGTAAGGGAGGCCTAAACCTAAAGAGGCCGCCGACTTGGTCCAACCGGGTTGGCTGGAGCACGTCGACGCACTCGCCAGCTCTCTGCGTCAGGCCTGCGGGGCTTCCCCGAGGGTTTACTTGGAGTGTCGGGGGACTTAGTAAGTGGTATAACAAGTAAACTTATACGTACCCGATCCTATTTGGGGTTTATGATACTTATAACTCTATAAAATACCTATTTACTAAGTCCCCCGACCCTCCAAGTAGGGTTAGGGTTTAGGGTCCCTTAATGAAAGAGTCTACCTTAAATTACAAGGGGCTTCATATTCTGGTCTTATTGGACTTGTCAAGCATGGCTACTCGGAGGTGCATGGTAGTTCTAAGTGGAAGTGGGGTTATACGTCCCCTACTATGGGTTATAAGTATAGTTACCTTACCTGCAGGGCTGGAAACTTGTAACCCTAGAGGGTCAAATGCTCCTTACTATGGCTTTTGGGTAGCCAAGACCATAAACAAGGACTACTTGGACCCCTAAACCCTGTATAACCCTGTACTACTTGAACCCTGGGTGTAAAGCATGGCTACAGGATTTATACGAATTAGGCTTTGGGGGTGCCGTTGGGCTGCCGGGGGCTCACAGGACCCGTGTGGGTTTTATGGGTTTGGGGTGGCTGGCTAAGCCAACGCAGCAACCCCAAACCCCCGACACCGTGACACCTACACCCTAACCTCTCTCCGAAAGCCCTGCGAACCTGAACAACAAACGTCAGCCCAATAAGGGTTTAGGGTTTGGTATTTTGGAACTAGCTTCTGAGGAAATTGGGCTTAGGACTCCAGTTACCACCGCTAACTTACACCTAGACCCCCGTACTACGCTCAAAGACTGCCACATTGAAAGCCCCGAACCCTAAACCTAAGCCTAAACCGAAACCCTAAACCGGATCTGTGCTGTTGAAACAGAGGCGCTTAACAAATAAAACTCACCCCTAAACCCTAAACCCCTGAACCCTAAACCCTAAACGCGACCCCGTGCCACCTGGGAGCTGCAGGGTGCCGAAGAAGGTCGGGCAATGCTTGCGGCTGCAGCCACCGAGGTGGATCCCTAAAAATAATTGGGGGGTGCGGGTTAATGTTTAGGGTTTAGGGTGTAGGGGCCTCAATAATTAGGGTGTTGGGGTATGTTATAGTATCACTATAATAAAAAGGATCCCCCAAATAGTATTGGTAATTCTTTAGGCTCCGACATTAGGGTTTGGGATTTAGTTAGGGTTCTACGCTTTACGGTAAAGGGGATCTCAGGTGTGAAATGTGATATTGATTTGCGTTTAGGTCTAGGGTTTGGGGCTTGGGGTTCGGGGTTTGGGTTGATGCATCCGTTTAGGGATTGAAGTCTTGACATGTGAATCCGAGTATCTCAGCAGGTAGCCCTTTAACCGGTTAACTTTTTACTTGGTCAGAGAGCTGAACAAGAGTGCATAGTTTGGGTGTTGGTTTGGGAATTCTTGTAATATCGAGGCCTAAATTGCCTAAATATTTACCAATACTATTTGGGGGATCTTCTATTATGATTATAGTAGAGTATACCCTAAAACCTTATGCTAATGATAAAGGCCCTATGTTCATAGAGTATTAATAATGTCCCTACTTCAACAAGGCAAACCCCAATGTCCATCGGCAATCTGGGCTGGAAGGTGTACCTACACCCCAGAACCCTACTATCCTTTCGAAGGGATAAGACGAAATCACACCGAAAATCCTTGAGCATGTAAATTTCATGACGGACTTGAGGCTCTGGGATTTCAGAGTTGACTTTTCGACTTAATTAGGGTTGAGGGGTTTCGGCTTGAGGATGGCATGTTATAAAGGTGCCGCTATTTAGGGAGCAGGGTTTTGGTCAGGATGGCGTGACCAGAGCTTAAATACCAAAACCTAAGCCCTAATTCCTATATAACCCCCTAAACCCTAAACCCCAAACCAAACCCCTCAGCCTTTATCCCTATGTAAACCCTAAGCCCTATGCCCTAAACCCCATTCACCTTGTGGGTTGTGCGGGTGACTTCTGAGGGCTGCTGTTTCTTGGGTTGTCCGTAAGTGAGGCCCATTCCCCTGGCCTCAAGGCCTTCGCGGATGTAGTCCGCTGGTGACGTCGGGGTGCAGACGCAAAAAAGGCGCTTAAAAACAAAAAACCATTCCCCAAACCCTAAACCCCAAACCCTAAACCCTAAACTCTAAACCCATTCCCTAAGCCCATTTCTGGCCCCTGGAGGTGGCCCACATCCGAGGCCGGCATCGCGAGGCTGTGCAGCTTGCATCGGAGGCTCAGGCACCTCGGACGGGCTCCGGGGTTTAGGGTTTTGGGGGTTTAGGGGTTTAGGGATTAGGGGTTTAGGGTTTAGGGATTCAGGGGTTCAGGGATTAGGGTTTAGGGTTTAGGGGTTTTGGGTTAAGGGTTAAGGGTTTAGGGTTTAGGGCTCAAGGGTTTGAGGGTTTAAGGGTTTAGGGTTT